TAGGGTTGAATTTCTGTGAGAGTTGTAACAAAAGGTGGGTTTGACCTTATGGCAGTAGAAGTCGATTGTAGTCAATCGAGAGAGGTAGTAGTTGTAAGGCTTTTTGATTATTGAGTTGTAATCACAAAATCTTATAGTTGAATTAATAAAACGAGGTTTTTCCTTCCTTGAGTGAGGAAGGTTTTTAATTTAATAAGTGTTTGTGTCTTTACTTAAAAGCAACTTACAAGAACGTGGTTCTTGTTATAGGGGATAGGTTTCTTCAAGCTACATACTCAGTCAACACTAACAAAAGAAACAAAGGGATAATGAATTGTTTGCCTTGTTAGGGCAGCGACCTGAGACGAGAAACGAGTGGGAGACGACCTCACTGCTGCTACAATGAAACTTCGACGAGTTTTCGTGAGTGGGGAATGAAAAGAAAACATAAAACTCTAGGCCACCGGTCACTGTAGTATCTCCTTTTTCTGTTCTGTATGTTTCTATGTATATATATATTTCTTCTGACCTTTGTTACTCTATTTCTTTTGCCCCTCTGATGTATCCTTTTCTTCTTCTTTTTTTCAACTCTCTGTAATTACCCCCCTCCCCCGAAGATAATGCTGCCAAACAGCTTGAATTTGTACTAAATTGTACAATCTCTCAACGGTACATTGACAAGGTCGAGATGGGCTCACGATTTGGACTCGGGTCGCAATTTTGCTGTTGAGGCTGAAGTTAAGCTTTTCACTCCCACATCCATTTGTCAATTCATAGAATGTAATAGAATAGATTAATATTGGTGGGGAAGGGTTTTGTTATATATTATATGGTGGAACCAACCCTAAATTTGATGATTGGAATCATGGTTTTGATCTAGGGTTCTTAGAATTTGTAGTAATCTAGATAATTAGTTATTATTTATTGATTCCTGAATTATATTGATTGTTTGTAGACCAAGAACAAGATGAACGAATCCAGAAAGGGGAGGATCAAGTTTCTTAGGGTTTCAAGCTTGTTTCGAGGTAGGTGATGGTCGTTATTTCATGATTATGTCATGTATACTTGTCCGTGCTTCATTATAGTACTTGTATATGTATGAATGCTGCAATGTTAATCACATATGATCATGATGATCTACTTGTGATTGTGATTGTGGTGTGTGAATTAGATCAGATAAAGGGAACAACTGAGCTACAAATAAGGGAACCAAATTTTTGCTCAGTGTCAACTTAAAATGTCGGTAATGCAAACCTAAAGTTCCATCTGCAAAAGAGATTACAACTTTATTCCAGTATTGGTAATTTAATGTCATGTAGTATTTCAAATTTGCATCAACTTAGTAACAAAGCAGGAAACTAATTAACAAGCAATATTGTCCTCATACAAGGAAAATTAAGATATCCTTAAGAGGAGAGCCGACAATAAATGCTGTAACTGAGGAGAAGCTTAGATGAAAAAACAAATATAACCTAACCTCTTCAGGCGGGATTGTGTACATCCAATCCTCGATTCTTCGAACAAACTGAAAAAGTCGCTCAAATTGCTATCGGAAGTACAGGTTTTTAGTTATATCATCAGAAAGACTTGGACCTTAAGAAGTACTAGTAACAATAAAAGCAACAAAGAAACCATTACAAAATAAAGAAGCAAGATATAGGGAAGCTTACATAGAATATAATCACATTTATATGGCGTGTGCAAGCTTGTTCATAAGATTCACTGGCTTCATGATAGAATTTTGCTAATGTTGGCACCATATTAGCCAGCTCATAAAGACTGCACAACTGCTTCCCATCAGCACTCAAACTGATTTGACGGAATAGAATATGTTATAGAGCTCTGGAAGTAACACTAGAACAATACCTATTCTGAAATGCTACAAGAACTAAAAGCACTCTATAATAAACATAGGACTGGATTGAACCAGAGTGTTCAACTACAACATTTATAAAATGACCAATTCTAAGCAAACTCTAGTTGATTTCTCCAGCTTCCATCGCTCTGCCCTGCAGAAGAAGAAAAAATTAGTTTTATTATACTGTAATGGGAAGTACAAAGATGCAAAAAAGTGAGAGATTTTCAGTGTATCTGTGATAGTGGAAAAGGAGGGAGGTTTCCACGGATTATTACAATATTATCAAAAGTTACTTTACGATAACACATTAACACAATCACGAAAATAAATAGCAGATGCTTGAGAGAAGTAGCAAAAATCTGACTGAAAATAAAAAATAAATTGCAGCAGCTTCAAATAGTTGATGTGCACTCACCTTGTATTGGAAGAATTTTGAAATATCAGACTAGTAACACAACTTGTTTTATCATGAAGCTTCCGTTAACCACGTCTAAGCTTATGAGAGAGACTATAGTTGAAACTACTTGCCAAATAGATACCATAGTTGGAACCACTTACCAAATAGCAAAGTGTCTAAGCTTCTGTTAGCACAGTTTCTAAGCAAATGCAGTCTGATACTAAACAACCATTTACCTGAATGCACCTCCAATAGGTACAACTTTCCAAAAGAGATTCATGATAAAACAGGTTGTGCAACACAACCATCGTTTGACCGCAAAAGGTTTTAGTATATTATTGACACTTGGCAGATCTAGAAAGGTATTTGGTCAAGACTCCGTATCTCACAAGTTTACATTTATGGAGAAGTATTTCATTCACGAGATATTTTATATGTATTTTATTACCAAGGGAAAGTGCAAAGTTGTGTTTCCTTCCTATAATAAAAATTTGTTGAATATGTATTTTATGTCTACAGCTCTGGCAGTAAAGTACCAAACTTCCTCCCTTCAGTTAATGAGAATCAATCATATTCGTAGGAAGTTGTCAATGTGAAGTTGTGCTCAAGAGGGAACAATTTTCCCATTGTCCTTATGTGAAGGAAGACCAGCCATCGCAGTGCCAAAACTTTAGGCTTGTGCAAGAGAAAAGTTGATTCGGTCTCTCTTAGGTAGTTCCTTTATTTATTTTCCTTTTGAGAGGTAGATGTTGAGACATGTTCTAGGTATCATCTACACGAATGATATAACAGAAAGCTTATAACTCTGAACTTAATGAAAGATGATATTTTTAGAGACTACCAGCTGATTTCCCCCATTTAGTTGTTGTAGTCATCTGCAAAATAAAACTACCTAGAGCAAACTAATTATTAAAAACTGAAAACAAGCTATACGTGGGAGGAAATGACAATGCGGATGCAAATCAAACGATATGCATTCATCAATTAATGTGAAAAACAATCTCTAGCAAGTGGCATCACTACTTCAGTCAGTTCCTCAAAAATAACCCAATTGAAACATCAGATATACATTTTCGCAATAAATAACAATCTTCTCTCTTATCTGGAAATGATAGAACTCAATTAGGGTTCTAGAGTGAAGTGTTCAAAACAAGTTTCAAATAACAATTTATACTTACCTCACCATAACTACTGACCCTGAGTTGGAGAATTGCACATCGTTTTCTCAAGCTAAATCTAGAAGAAACAGAATCTGCTAAATATACTCAATTTTTTCCAGTTATGTTTTTCTCAAAGCTATACGAAGCTAATGAAATAAAACTATCGAGAAAGAGAAATCAAGCGGAAAGAAAGAGAAAGAGAGATTACCTCGTGTTGTGCGCTTAAAATCGATTCGCACTTCAATCAAATCCATCGTAGCCATGGAAGGGAGTTTCAATTCAATCCACTGCTTCAGATAAAATGGAGAAACATAGATGGAGTACTTCGGAATTCGAGAATAAATTTAAAATTTGATTGAAGAGGGTTTTTGGTCTTTTAAACTATACTAATAATTGTTATTGGGTTACTTTTTTTAGTGGCTTAAGGTTAATTGCCGGCAAAAGTTAGCTTAAAAACACCATTTAGTGGCAATTTTATGACTGCCGCCAAATTGTGGTAGTGGGTGAACGGCATCTTCTTAGAGTACTAAATGAAGGATACATTATGGTAGTCTGTACAATAAATTATGTACTCTCCAATTTATCCCTAATTACAAGGGATAATTGTTCTATTTTTCTTTTTTGTAGTTTTTGTGACATATGCATTATATCTTTTTACAGATTTCATTCCTTCATTACAGCTAGACCACATAATTCTCTTCTCTATTCATATGAATATATTATCATTCAATTATACATGTATATTTCTTCCTTTTATCTTTTTGATATGTATAAAAACTCTTAAAGAATATTTAGCGAATGATTTCCTCCAAGAAAGCTATATTCTCTAGATGTTAACTCATAAAATGCTCCTTTTTATTTGTAAAGTAAAAACATTTTCCTCTTTTTATAAATGTCTAGCTTGAACCTACACTGATATCAACATAACTAACATGATTATAATAAGAATTTTATTCCTTGCATATTAAGATACATTAAATTAGTATTAATTGTAGAACAAACAAAAAAACTATGTGTTTATCACCAATTACTCATTTTTCCTGAAGTTGCAATTAATGTTCAACCGTTTGACGGCCAAAGATGTGCTTCTTGATTTTTGAAGGATCTTCATTTTGTTTAATAGAGG